ATTTAAAGGAATTATCAGGACTTGGAATTAAGGTTGTGTATACTAGAGTGATTTTTTTCTTCGATTTTACATATAAATTATGCACGAAGATCATTAATTTTTCAAGAATTACTAGAAGTACTTTTCAGTATTTGTGTGAAGAATTTATTCCTATTTGCAAAGAAAAAACAATAATAATAGTGATAATATAGCATTTTGGAAACAAATACACTGATACACCAATGATTGCATTTATTATGTTTTTTTTTTGTTTTTTAGCTTAATGGAGTACTATTATTTATTCTTCCTCATCTGAGGAGGAGGAGGATTTGGCGAGTAAAGAAATGCATAATAAAAGTAATTTAATTTTCCCATTTCAGATATTTTCAAGGTTGTACAGTACAAATCGAAATTTTAATTTCTTGAGGATAAATTTATTAATCAAATCAAATCAAACTTTAATTTCTGAGGACGCCCATTGTTTACAATTAAATATACCACGTGATTCTCCCTATCCTTAAAATTGTGATTTTTTTGCCATATGATGTATTGTGTAACCGAACTCCACCCTTAAAAAAAGTTTAATTTTTCAAATAATAATAATATAAATGGTACGTATGATCCGTCAACAATGTTCTTTTGTGGAATTCAGATTAATTGCCAAAATTATAAAATTCTCTCAAAAAAAAATTGAAATATTTGATTCATTATGAGTGGAAAGGAAATCGGAATAATCATACTGTTTATCATATATTTAGGCGGAGCAACAATAAGCGGTGTTTGGCAATTACTTGGTTGGATTTATAGAAGTTATTATTATGCCGAACCTTCGACTGAAAATATCCGAAACATTCTTATTGTGAGGAGAACAGGCAGTGGCAAATCGGCATTGGCAAATGTTCTGTTAGGTAAAGAGAAATTTACTGAAGTGGGTGGGTCTATTAGTGGAACCAAAAGTATGTAAAAAGAATTTTTTGAGTACGAGGGAAATCGTTATTGCATAATCGATACAATTGGGGCAGGAGACACTTCCGGGTTATCTGACAAAGAAATATATACAAGAGTATTGGAGGAAACGGAATCAAACAAGCATTTTTTGTTTACAAATGCCGTTTCACCAAGGAGCAAATAGAAGCTTTCAAGTTGTTTAAAAAGCCCCTTCTCGTTAAGTATATGTCAAAGTTAACCTCCTATTTAACTATTGTTTGTACAAATCTTCCCGAATTTGAAGATAAAGAAAAATGCAAAGAAGACAGGGAAAAACTGCTCGCGGAGAACAAAGATATTGCTGAGATAATTAGGGATTTTAATATCATCCATGTCAATAATCCACCGCCAGGTTATGGGTATATGGTGGGAAAAGCCCGAGAACATTCAAGACAAAAATTGCTTAATCACTTGAAATGTTTGTAAATAGGAACATGATAATTACAGTCGTTATTTTAGTATTCATCATATGATCAAAAGAAATAATTTTTGGTGAAGATTTATTTTCCTTGGTTAAAACTTGTAATTATAGTTTTTTTTTTATTAGTGAGACATTTCTTAACTCTATTTTTTGTTGAAAACTTGGTGCAAATATTTTATCCTTTATTTAGAATTTTACACTTGAGCCTATAAAGCTTCAGAATCAAGATTAAAATAAATCATATAACGTTCTGTATATCTCTTTTCAAACATAAGTATTCCATTAATATAACTTTAACTTTGTTTTCAGGAGTTCGCATACTAATAGAAGTGACTCCAGGAAGTCATGCAATTTTTCTGATACTTAAATAGATCATAGTAAAATACATTCACTTTTATGGAATTCTCAAGACCTGAAATCCAATTTACAAATCAATCTAATGAATGTTAAGGCTGGATATCAGCACATGATATGGATTTTTTTTTCCAGATCCTTGGCGTATACGTAGCATCCGTCACAAGCTTCAAAACAAATATTACATACCCATTGTTCTCTTGAAATATTGCAATGTTATGAATTTCCAGGAATGAAAAATACTTGATTGTATTGTATTACACATAATGCTTTTTTTTTTGGATTTTATTATCATGTTGTTGTTTCTAGAGTTAGAACCACGAAGCTTGCATGTCAATTAAAATAATCGGCACAAACTCCATATTAAAATTATACCTGTCCGCCCATGGGAGTAAGCATTTACTTCCCATGTTCCAAAAGGTCGTCAAGAAATCTTTCCCTTTGAGATCAGAATCTGGTATAATAAAAACTCCTTCATCACCACTATTATTGAACATATGGGATTACTCCTCGCTATTCCCTTCTTCACCTTGTAACACGAATATTACCTTCATTGCATTCATTCTCTCTGATCCTCCCTCTTCCTTCCAACTAAACCATCATCATTTTCAACTAAACTTGAATTTTATTGAATTGAATTTATTTATTCTTGTTCGTGTTGATTGTGAAATTTGCTTTATAAGAGGAATAGATAAGATGGATAATAAAAAAACAAGTGTTTAATAATAAATATTATAAAATATAATGAATGTATTAGTATTTTTTTATAAAAAAATAAAGGTATTGATTTTATGAAAAAAAAAATTATTGTTACAAAGAGACCTTTCTTTTAATTGATCGAATTAAAAAAAACAAACATATCTCTTTCCTTTTATGAGTAAAAATCATTATTTTATTAAATAATTACAGTCAAACATCTTTTCAACGAATTTTGCTATATAAATTACGCGGTTAGTACGATTATGTACCATAGATTCGTTGAAACGAGGTTTGCCTGTATAATTATACTTTTAATAAAGCAACGTTATTTCTAAAACCAAATGATGTTTTATTACTTCTCGTACTATATTTAAAGCGGTGATGTCATTAATAACCGAAGACATAACTTTTCAACTGGTAATTCTTTATAAAACCATAGCAAAAACTTTGCAAGGAGATAAAATAAGTCGGTCGCTTAAAATTTCATTTTGCATGATCTTAGTGTTGGACGACGTAATTTTTTTAATTTATTATTAATATTTATAAATATTAATATATAAAACTATCCGTATGTGCATGTATTTTTTTATTTGCATTAGACTAGCATTTACCTAATTCTTGTAATAATATTTTGGAACTAACATTATCAGTTTGCATTTTCTTATTTGGTATCTTACTGTCGAAATAATGCTAGTATTGTTTTCCCTCTTCTTTACTTTCCTTTCCTTGGTAATTTATTTTATCTTACTAATAGATACAAGGCAATTCTAATTATGTCACAATTCCTTTTACTGCTGAATTCCCCTAACTTTTATTGGCATCTTTTAACACAAGAAAATTTATATTGGCTAATTATTGAGCCTAGTCTTCCTTGACTAGCTAAATTATTTGTTTTATTATTTGCGAAAGTGATTATCCTGTTGCATAATTTCTTGGAATGGCATTGTCTGTGTGTCCTTGTAAAGCATTTCATTATTTAATTTATCAACTTAATATTCAATTAGTCTTGAATTTACTGTGTGTGAAATCTTTGTTTTTTTTTTTAGCTTAAATGGTTTCTTGGTGATAATATATATATTTCGCTTGATAATTGTCTCTCTTCTCTTGCGCGTTGCAAAGTTCCGTGTGGGAACAATGAGGTTATTTTTCGCTTTTATCGACGACGTTCTTGGAATAAATTAGCGTACTCGACTTGGGTAATATTTGGATGACATCTCTTTCGACAATTCTCACGTCCATATTCCCTTCGGAATTATTGGTTCTCTCTTCATGTAAATCATGGAGACTTCTTACCAATCCGTTTTCAGTTACATTTCTGATTACGTATGCTAAATTGTAGTTAACTGGCTTTGTAAATCTCTTTGACAGGCTTAGGATTGAGCTAATTCTTGTTCTAATTGTTGATAACTAATCATGGCCGGTTTGGAAGTCTTGGATAATTAGCTGCTGCGGTTTTCTCGGCTTCTCCAACAAGTATTTTGTGCTTGTTCATTAGTTAATTAGCCTTGCGCTTGGGAAAGTTTGTTATTTAAGTAAGTTGTTTTATTATTATCTTCGGGAATGGCAACAAAAGGCATGTTAATGGAAGATCATTTTTAATAAATAATAGCTCTCTTAAAATTACTGCCAAAATTTTTTTGATCCCTGAAATTTTTTGTTGTCCCATATTTTAATTAATATTAAACTTGTACACAGTATTAGCTAACTGTTTCTTATTGTGATATTATTTGTTATTAGATAATCAAAAAAAATTTTAAATATCAATCAATAATTTAATTATTGATTTAGAAATTGATTTAAGGCGAGTATTATTTATTATTTATTATTATTATTTATATATTTTTTACGAATAAAATATTTTTTCTCACTCTCAATGAATTTCATCATGTCAGAACTCAGAATGGACTAAGAATACTATGCTTGGTTTTGTTAGGCACATATTGGCTGGAGATTAGATTAGTTGAATGGGACAAGATTAGATTAGATTAGAGTTAGACTAAATGAGTGAGTGAATGACACTAAAATTTCATTTTTTAACCAATTAATATCTAGCCAGCAATTATGTTTCAGTGAGAGAACCAATGGAAATGTATAATTTAAGCAAAAGTACCAGTATTTGTTAAACTTGCACAAGGTGTTTATGGTGTGATTACTCATCAATAATAATGTAGCTATTTTTTGGGAGAGTAGAATTTGCTTTGATTGATGGATGGTTTTCTTCATTTACTGGAGAAACAAATCCAAGCAGAAATAAACTCATCATCGTCACACATTTAATTAATCCATTTTATTATACGTATATAGAACATCAGCAGGATGGATGGACAATCATTGGATGAAGCATACAATATTTATTTACAAAATATTCCACGCCTGATAAAACAAAAAGCAAACATTAAAAGTGGCATATAATTTCACCATTTTAGGAGTTCGAGTACCAGCTCTTGTCATATCACCATATGTACCACAAAACATTTTCCACATTTGAAGCTTGATGATCCAAGAAATGATTGTTAGAAAAATTGCCCGATATCTATAATTGGGATGGTAAACCAATTGATGGAACGCCATCACCACCAAGTCGGCTAGAACTTTATTTAATTTATAATTGTAATAACAGTTGTATTAATATTAATAATTTAGAAAAATAACTTATTGTCCAAAATGTTATTTTTTTAATGTACAAAAATAATTATAAAAACGTTAAATAATAATTTAACCATCCATAGTTCATCAACCATTTATCAGTTTTGTAGTTTCTTTCTTCCTGACAACCTGGAAAACTTCATAATCTAGCACATCAAATTTGTTTGATTTAATGACATCAGAATCATAATAAGTAAGGTTACTAGTGCAATCTTTATTTAAATTGTTCATATTTGACATACACAAATCATTGCCACCAAAGCATGGACCCCTAATATCAGCACAAAATATAGCCATTTTAGAATTTTTTGGTATGATTCTACTAATTTTAGGATTATTATTATTTTCTTGTGCTAGTAAATTTTGCACCCTATTTGTTGTTGTTCCTGATGTTGATATTGATGACGACGATGATGCTAGTTTAAAAATAAAACTTTCGTCAGTCATAATCCAATTACCATAAAATCCACCTGTCCAACCAACAGGATTATATCCACCAATGATTTCACCTGTGATAGAATCTTTCATCACTACAACCGTTGCTCCTTTATTATCACACAAGTTGTGAAATGTTTTTGCCGTAAAGTCATCTCGACTGCCACGTAATAATAATTTGAACTTGTGAGATGGCGATCTACGATAAATTTGTTGCTTGTTGTCTTTTTTAAGAGTTGGACGATGATGAAGACTTTGATAATTTGAATTATTATTATTATTTGACTTTAATGACTTGTCATAAACTGTAGTATTGTTATTATCATTGTATTTTATATCTTTTTGATCAATCCAATCAGAAATAAGTATCGCGTGATTTAAATTAATGATGTTTGAATCGATTAAATTTTCTTCATTTTGTAAAAAATATTTTTCCAAAAATTTTTCAAAATTTTTCAATTGTCCGATTGATTTCAACTCGTTACGATTAATATTTTCAAATCTAATATTACCGATACAATTTTTCAAAATAGAATCCAATGCATCAAATTCATTCTGTGTCCAATTTGAAACACTGTCAACAACATTACCATCATTACAATTAATGTCAAGGTTGGTTACACCCCATTGAATCAAATAATCCAACAGCTTGATTTCATTCATTCTCAAATCATCACGTTTAAGTAATTGGAGAAGGATTGATTCGTTGATTGATTTGGAGATTGAAGAGTTGAAAACTATATCAGGATCATTACAAATGTTGTCGAGGCATAATTGTTGAATTTTATGACATGAC